ACAATATCCTCCATCGCACATGCTCTCATGAAATGAATCCCTGCCATTTCCCCACGCAAGACAGGGTTTAATTCTCCTTCCCACGAATCTGGGCTGATCTTACTGACTTTCTTGACCAACAGGATGTAATGGAAGTGACATCCTCAAGTGTCCAATATTGTAGGAGCTGAGAAGGCTTGTAACTTCTGTGTGGGTCTCTTGGAATGCTCCCTCTTGGGACACTTCTCTTCAGAACCAGCTGCTATGCTCTGAGAATTCCAAGCCCCATGGAATGCTCTGGTCAGCAGCCACAGCTGAGTTCTAGCCAACACCAGCACCAAGTGCCAGCCATGAGAGTGAGCCACCTTGGACTTCCAGCTCAGTGGAGCTTTCAAACAGCCCCAGCTGACATCTGAAAGCAACTGCACGAAAACACCCAAGCACAATCACCAGAATTTCCCAGTCAATCTACAGAATCAGGAGAGGTGATATCAACTGTTCTCTTAAGCCACTGAATCTGGATGTGGCTTATTATGCAGTAACAGAGAACTAAAGTAGTCAATGGGTTCAGTTTTAGACCTGTGAAGTTTGAGGAGCTTGGAAGACACCCAGGTGGAGAAGTTCCAAAGGGCCTTGGATAGATTTAGCATAGGGATGTCTGGAGCTCAAAGAGAGAAATATCTACACCTCACATATTGATTTGGGAGTAGGTAAAATGTAACATAGCATACAGCATACAGAATGTGACCGAAGCCTGGGGAGCTGTTAAGAGAACCCAGAGGAATCATATTCCAAAAAAGAGCAGAGTCCTGAGTAACGGCAATGTTGAGGGATCAGACAGAGAAAGATGAGTCAACTCAACAAACTGAGAAGTCACTGCCAAAGAGTCAGGAAGAGAGCCAAGGTGAATGCGGTATCACAGAAGCTAAGAGAAAAGAGCATTTCAATTAGGAGGGATAGGTTAACAATTATATGCTACCAAGAACTCCAATATGATAAAGATGGAAGCGTATTCACAGATGCTGCCAACATAGCAACTGATAACCCAAGAAGACATTGGTTTCAATGCATTGTGGTAGAGAACAGCTATGAGAAAGCGGTATATAGAAAGTGAAGAAATGAATATAGCGAATACAGATGCTGTGCTCATGAAGGCTGGATGTGAAGGGAGAAGGGACAAATAGGGTAGAGCTGTGGGAGAAGGGAGGGTCAAGGGGTTTTTGGCTTTTTTTTAAAAGACATTGAGAGGCCTCCATAGGTTCACATGTTGACGGAAGGTGTCAACAGTGGGCAAATTTGGAAGATATAGAACGGGATCAAGAGTGCTCATGGAAAGATTAGCCTTGAATACAGGGCAAAGAGTGGAAGTACAGATCCAGACATGCAGAGGAATGAGGATTTGTTTTTAAGAAATTAAGAGAACCTTCCTGGGGAGGTTTCTATTTGTGGTTGAAGAGAAGGGCCCATCTGTTGAGAGAGCGGGGATTCTGAGGGCAGGAGGAAGATGTGGAACAATGTGGAAGAGAGTTTGTAAGGGAACAAAAGTAGGGCGGCCGGACTGTTGGAGTCAGTGAGCCAAGAGATGGGTATTATGATTCCCTCTTTACACATGAGGAAGTTGAGGCTCCAAGAGGTTAAGTAACTTGCTCAAGGTTACAAAGTAAATAAATGAAGGAGCTAGGCTCTGAATATAGGCCTGTGTCATTCTTTCCAGTACATTAGGCTAAATGAATTCCTTGGTCCCAGGGAATAATTTTAATTTCTGGAAAGAGACTGGTATTGGAAGTTGAAAAGGCCTCATTCTCACCTCTACATTCACACTGTTCACTTCCATCAGTTTTGCCCGAGACCCCACCCTTCTGATAGCTCATCTTTAAAAGTGGCAGTCAAAGATGGCCTCGTGGAATATAATAGAAATTCTTCTTTTATATACTAAATACCACGTAGAAGCTTCCATTCAAATGGGCTTACAAGCTAGCTTGGAGTTTCCTGACGCCTTAACAGCATGAGTGTTCCTTAGAACACTATTTATAAAATAAGAATGAAATAGGACTGCATAAACAAAAGTACTGTATTTAGAAGCCGTGACTCAATTGTCTCATTATGTTTAGCACAGTTAATTCTCCTAATGAGCTTTGTTCTGAATTCTAAGGCTCTCTTAAGGGTGGTGATCTCGAATTTCTAAAGAGATGATGTGATAGGCTTCTCTGGATAAAGCTGAGGTTGTGGACGATGGTGTCTGGACAGTGCAGGATCATCACAGGGGTTTAAAAGCTGTGATTTTCAGGTACTTCCTCTGTCTTGTAAATATAGTCCCCTCCTACCCCCCTGAACCCCGTGACTGCAAGTATTTAAGAGATACATACCAAGAATCTTTACTTGGAAAAACGGAAATAAGAATTCCTTATAATTTAGGGGTTTTTTTGGGGGGGGGTGCTATCCGAGAAATAATAAAGAGGACAAGTGACTACTAATTAGGTCCCACTTTGTGGACAAGGTCTGAGCCCAGAGACAGCCTTCCTTCCCATAAGGAGGAATGACTATGAATCCCCAGTCCAGCTGACAGCTGGAGGATCAGTTTTTCTCCAGAGTTCCTAACTCATCCTGGGGCATCTGGTGGCTGTTCCTTACGTGGGGGGCTTCTTTACAAGGCTAGAAAATAGGTTCTTTGCTTCCGTGTATATACAGTCCGACAGGCTCATGTGAGTCAACTGTCCGCAGTGCATTCTATGATCACGTGGGGGAACTCCAGTCTCTCCTAGAGGAGGGGACTTTCAGAGCAGTGTTACTGAAACTGTGGACCACCATCCTTTGTAAACTGTGAAATTTTGTGTCAACCAGCACTTGTATAAATGGGAAATGCAGCAGAGTGAGAAAACCAGGGTGCATGTCACAAAACGAGGAGAAGCACTATTTTGGGAAACGTATTTCAGATGGGTATGTGCATGGGTCTGTGGATTTTGACATAATGTGGATTTCTTACTGCAGTCATAGAGAAGAGTTTAAAACTCTATTAACTCCACAGAATTTCTGAAGCCGTATGTACATGATGGTTTTTTTTTTTTTTTAAGATTTTATTTATTTGACAGAGAGAGAGAAAGAGAGTACAAGCAGGGGGAGCCGCAGAGGGAGAGGGAGAGCAGGCTCTCCACCGAGCAGGGAGCCCGATGCGGGGCTCGATCCCAGGACCCCGGGATCATGACCTGAGCCGAAGGCAGACGCTTAACCGACTGAGCCACCTAGGCGCCCCCATGATGTTCTTTCAAATGATCCCAGGCAGTTCATTCCAGGGTTGTCCTGAAATCTTCTTCTAGGATCTGAACCATGAAAGCACCCTGACCAAGGTTACAAAGTAAACAGGTGAAGAAGCTAAGGATTTGAACATGGTTTATGGGAGCTGAGGAATGCTGCCGATTCAAGCAGAGAAGGTACTCCCCGGCAGAATACCAGGAACCAGCATGAGGCTGGGGGAGCATCTCTCAATCCGTAGCTCTCTTAGTATTATGCTGCTTAAGTATTGTGAAACTAATTAGCTGCGCTCTATTTCCATCTTAACCATGATAAAAGGTTAGGATGTTGTAAAACTAAACATATCTACAATAAGCCTTTCTCTTTTTAGTCTAATTTCTTGAGTCTAAAAAAAGTTCCCTCCACGTGTGGTTAGTATGTGCCATCAGGCTCTTTTCATAGAAACCATCCGCTTTAAGAGACAGGCTACATTTTAATCTACAGAAACCCAAAATAAACACTCTTAAGCGGTTCATCTGTTATCAGTGTATAAAAAATTAAACAATTGTTTACTTAATTGCAATTTCCCCCACCTACAGTTTTCATTACTAATACGTTACCACTTATAGTTTCTTGGAACATGTGGAGCTTTATATCAAAAGGCTCCATACAGGTGTGGGGCAAAGGGTATTTATTATTACCATGAAAATCTAACATCTTATAAAATTCCTCAGTCTCCCTAAGAAGGAAGAGAAATGCCATAAATTATTGTTGTTAAAATAAAACAGAAGATGAGAAAACAGAGAACAGAAAAATGATAAAGGCATTAGTCATAGTGAATGGGGACATGTCAAATGGCAGCATATATATATATATATAAACATAAATGTATTTATGTTATCTATAAATACACAATAGCTTCTTTTTAGTCTTGCAAAGAAACTAGCCACATGAGGACGGACATAATTGATGCCAAAGCAGAATACAAATACATGAGATAAGAAGAAACAAAGGGGGAAGAAAAGCTTGGGAAATGCTTAAAGGCAGACAATATATTTATGTGACAAAAAAAGGTATCTTGATCCGGTTGCTTTGAGATATAAAATATTATGACATTTTGCAAAAAGTCAGAGATTGCCAAGGGTCAAAATACACACACACATCAAAATAATGGACAAGTACATATAATATAAATATACACAGGTAGATATACATTTTCCTGGGTGTTTATATGGAAAAATGAAAGGAAGCATTCTCAAGCTTCTTAAATTGTTTTTAATTCAGAACCAAATGATCTGAAAGTCTGTTAGCCCAAAGTGCAAACTTTTGAAGGTTTACAGAAAGGACAAGCAGAGGAAAGGTCAATAAATTATAATCCTTTAATGTGTCTTGTATTTGAAAGCTTTTAAAACAAAATTCATATAGTATTCCAACTCCATATGCTAGTTGAATGAAAAAAGCTTAATACACCCAAGATATAATATATGAGATGATGTACTGAAGTACAGCCTATTTACAGACTAAAAATAAGACAAAATACACACTTGCAGAGGGAAAGCCGGAAAAGCCTAGCCATCAAATCAGAAGGCAGAAAATCGTATTATTCCTATAATAAAAATGTGAACTTCCAATCTTTCAAGTAAATGAATAAAAACCCCTCATTAAAAGATGACATCTGTATTTCAAAATCTTTTCCCTCTCCCAGATATAGCTGGATGTGACATGGATAAAAATAAATTTATGGAAAAGAGATGTTAAAAGAAACACACAAGACACAAAATTCTTTCTCTTACCATTGTCGCCAGAAGGTAATGATACAGTGTTTGTTGGCATAGTATCAGAATTCACTTTTCCATTCTCAAATGTGTCATTTTCAGTCTGCTGTAACTGCCAGTTGAGGCCAAAGAGATGCATTGCTGGGAGCAAAGAATACAAGTTGTTTAAAGGTCTGCTGTTTTTAAGCAGTATAGCAAATGGTAAACATGTTTATAACAAGATTCACATGTAAAGTGAAAATTTCCATGTTCTGAAATGCCAAAGATAATTGCACATAAAAATTAGAAAGGAAACCATTCCTCAAACAAATGCAGCTTAGGTAGCAATGCTGTGCAATACAGGTACCAGGAGGCTCTTAGGAATGAATGATTATTTGCTCTGCTCTGAGTTCCACTGCCCTCTGTCATTTAGGTAAGTGGTCGAATGCTCTGTAGCGGCATCCGCCAAACCTGCTTGAGCTCAGGCCACTTGCACACGTGGAATACTTAGTTGCAACATCTGTAGATTCTCAAGAAACATGATGCTGTTCACTTGGATTAAGGTAAAAAGTAACAATTGGTCTCCCAGATAAATTTGCTGGCATATGAAATGATCAGAATGGATTTATATGCACAAAATATAGTAATATTTGAATATTCTAGATTTAAGATGTGTTTATGACATTCAATTCATCAACGGCACAGATGAAGCAACATGCTGTGTCAGGTTAATTTCATGTAGAGTTTCTGATGTGGGTATGATAATCTTACAAATTTATAAAAATTTTGTAAACGGATTTACTAATTTTCTTTATTTGAAATATTTAGAAAATAGACAACTATAAGACTTTATACATTTACAAATGTAATATACTTAAAATTTTTTATATTATTTTTCTTAATTTATTTGAAATACTTACAAGAATAATCCCTGTGATATTGACCACTAACGCTCAACTAAACTTTCATTTGTGTTCCACAGAATACAGTTTCAGAATTAATCCCTAAGGAGGCTAAATAACCCTAGGGAAACCCAGGGATGATCATATTACCGTATCACAAAAGATTTTTTTGGACATTGTTTGACATTTCACCATATATATATGGAATTTACCAGAGAGGTGAAGAAAGACATAGTGTTTAAGAAGTACTGTTAGAAATAGTGTGATGACTACCACTGTCAAAAGGCAAGCCCTTATTAAATATGTAATATATGTAGTAACACAATTAAATTGGCAGTGTAAAGAGCAGGGGCTTTAGGTGGCGTTAGATTTTGGTCTAATCTTCAATTTAGAATTTAACCTTGGACAAATGATGGAATATTATTAACATTCGTTTTACTTAAAAAGTGAGGTTGGTTAAACCTACCTTACTTAATTGATGTGAAATTTCTAGACAGGATAGGTCTATGGGGGTATATCATGGACAGCTGGTACATAGCAGGACCGTTCTTAGTACATAGGGACTTCATTTATTTATTGACTCTAGATGACTGAACTATTTTTTTTAAAGATTTTTTCTTTTATTTATGAGAGACAGAGAGAGAGAGAGGCAGAGGGAGAAGTAGGTTCCCCATGGAGCAGGGAGCCCAACGCGGGGCTAGATCCCAGGGCCCTGGGATCACAACCTGAGCTGAAGGCAGACGCTTAACCAACTGAGCCACCCGGGTACCCCTAGATTACTGAACTCTTTGAAGTCACCTGACCAGACCACACTGCCTCTCAATAAATAGTTCCTTCTGTCTGTAAGGCTCTTCATCCACTGTAAAATACCCATTCATCGCTCAGATGGTAGACACCAACTTTGTGGGGTAGCCTTCCCTGACTGGGTCAAGCATCTCTCCCAAGACTGCTTTCATTCACTTTTGTACCTCATTTACCTTATCTGGTGCCCAAAACCTAGTAGTCTTAATAAGTGTCTGTAGGTAAATGAAATCGACATTCTGATGTTTGCAAATCTAAGAAAACACTGTTGTGGATAAAAATATAGTAATTTAAGGGAACAGTAAATAAATATAAAACAAATAAGTAAATGGCCAAGAATAGAGTGTTATCTTATTAATAAATAATGACTATATTAGCATAATGGTATATGAAAAGCAGTTGAGTGAAAGTCCACTAGTACTTTATATAATTAAAGTTTAAAAAAAAAGATTCAATAGTTTGCGGGTATTCTACACGTTTTACATTCTTTTGTTAACCACTCCTGATATAAAATTATGCTATAATAAGAAACACAGCGAACACATACAAACATAGTTACATCTACTCTGTATATTTTTAACAAATGTATATACTCCCCTTCTTAAATTATAATCTGGCAGCAATTCCTTTCAAGCTCTGGTTTTTTTAAGGATTGAGATATAGGTTATAGAATCCTTGAATTCACAAATTGTCAACTTGTAAGGAGGTATAACTTCATATGTCATTTTGCATTAAATTACATAGTGTTTGAGTAGCAAAATGTCAGGAGCTTTCTAAACATTTATCACTTCATACATTTTTTTCAAGGTTTTAGGTATTTCAGCAATTTTTGAATAAAATAATGGGAACTTGTTCTGCATACAGTAAAAGCTTTGACAGACATACTTTGGCATAGTGATGATAAATATTCCAAAAGGGTCAAAGTTTCTAACAAAATAATTTATCATCATTGTGAGCTTTTATGTAACATAAAAAGTCTTCCTGAATGATAGATTTGCTTATATTATTGGTTTTAATAGACTTTGAAGAAGAGAGATAATCCACGGGATCCTGCACAGATGTCAAATGTGAGAAAGTAATGCTATGTTTCTGTTTGGAAAGCTATTTATTTATTTTTTTGCCAGATGGGCAATAGCTTTATTATATATTTTCTTCTTACAGTAAATCTCAATAAAATGAAATTCCAGTCTATTTAAGATGCTGTATAATGAGAACCATATCAAATAATATTATATCTTGTTTAACACTGCATTGACCAACAAGTTGTTTGGTCTTGGGATATTATGTACTTTGAAAATCTTGGCGTTCGGTATTTAGCAATGCTCTTGACACTCATTATGTGTAACTTGAGATTTTTCTACAAATACGGGGTGTTAGTAAAACTGACTCCAAAAATGAGAGAGGGGGAGACCAAGGGAGGCAGCAAACTCGTAAAAGTAAAAAAATGCTACAATAATTTCTGAGCACTTGCACAATAGTGCTGTATGGGAAGGTCTTGGCAGACAAATAAGGGAAAATCAGTGAAATAAAATACATATGTAAATACAGCAGGATGAGCCCAATTCTTCAATACCCGATTTGGAAAGCAAGATTTGAACCCACGGGAGGGCCTGTGGCACCACTACTCGTGAATGGTGAAAATCGATCCTTGGTGTACCCAGAGTGTCAAGGAGTGGCTGGGAGCTCTGTGCCCCTTCGGGGTCCCTCACCCCTCTGGGCACATAGTTTAGGTGAGGAGTTATCGGCCGGCAGCAATGTTGTTCTTGTGTTGGTGTTAGGACATCCCGATGCAGTATTTTTTTTTTAAGAGAAAACATTCATTAAGCACTTATTATATATCAAATGTTGTGCTAGTGTTTCACCTGCTTTATCTCATTTAATCTTCATGAAGACTCCAATGAATACTTACTGTTATTACTTTTTTTTCATTTTAAATCGGAGAAAATTGAGGCTTTTGAGGAGCTTAAGGTTTCAAGCAGGCAAACAGTAGACCTTGCCCTTTAACCCAGACCTTCTGGTCACAAAGGGCTTAGCCCAATACACCTGTCTGTTCTCCCAGGGGGCCGAGGAATGTGAAAATCTGTACCGAAGGAAGTGAAATGTACCTTCAGTGAGGGCCACAGGATAGATAAGGTTTTTCTACTAGATCTAGAAAACGGAAGGCAGAGATAGTATTTGGTGGCAGAGGATGGGCAAAGATTCCTCTAAGTAACATTTGTGTAATGCAGGCATGGTTCTCCTGTACAAGAACTTTTCCACTCCACTCTTTTGTAGAAGAAAATTTTATAGTAATATGATAAGGATGAAAATTCACGACAGGCTACTTTGGTTAATTCTAAGAGTATTTTTTTTTTAAGATTTTATTTATTTATTTGAGAGAGAGAGTGAGGGAGCGAGAGAGCGAGCGCAAGCTGGAGGAAAAGCAGAAGGAGAGGGACAAGCAGACTGCACTGAGCATGGAGCTCGACGCGGGGCTTGATCTCACGACCCTGAGATCATGACCTGAGCCGAAACCAAGAGTTGGAGGCACAACCTACTGAGCCACCCAGGCGCCCCTCTAAGACTCTTTAAAACAATTAAAAAATTACATGGGAACCCTATACGTGTGTATTTTAAAGTTATAGAAAGCATTCATGTAGACTTAATCTTAAAAAAATTAGTTTCTGATATCATGTTTCATAGTTTCACACGGTTATTTCTATGTATCTCTGGGTGATTTTAATGAGGGGTGGGGGCTGGATTCATATCTAAAATGTTATCCAAGGAAGAGGGGAATTTGTGAATGACCGCAGTAACATTGTATGTCTGCTCAAGTGGGTTCTTTACCTTTGAAAATAGCTTGATGTCTATTAACTTATTTTTTTTTTTAAAGATTTATTTATCTTAGAGAGAGAGAGAGCACGAGTGGAAGGGGGAGAGGGAGAGAGAATCTCAAGCACACACTACTCCTAGTGCAGAGGCTGGCGTGAGGCCCTATCTCGGGACCTTGAGATCAGGACCTGAGCCGAAACCAAGAGTCGGACGCTTAACCGACTGAGCCACCCGGGCGCCCTGATGTCTATTATCTTCTAATAACGAATGAATGGTGCACGGCAGCGGTCATCATTCCTGTTGTACGAGTGAAACACAGGCAGAGAGCAGGTTAGTGACTTACCCAACGCCTTTTAAAAAAAAAAAGGTAGTGTATAAAGAGGACTCATGATACCAGATCTCTTGACCCAATGTCAGGATTCCTTTTCCTATACTGAGCTGTTGTCCTTTTTAATCTCAACTGTTTTGAATCTAAAATTTAAGAAATTAAAAAAAATCTTAACACAAATTGTTGATTTATTTCTTTTTCAACAGCAGCACGTATAATCAGAGGTTGTCCATTTGTTGAAATGGGCTTCTGAATACAAGATGTTGACTCACTGAAAATGGCTGCATTTCGCAAAATCATTTGTAAGTTGCTTGTTTGGA